TAATTTCAGTGTACGTACCGCCGCTTCCCAAAGACCCCCGTAATGTGGAGATCTAGGAGGTATGAAATGCCAACTTATTTGCTCGCTAGTTGCATGGTCTTGAACGTCGTCCTTGAACTCCTTACTGTATAGTATTTCTTGCAACGCGCGATCCGCTCCAACAAAATTTTTTCCGTTGTCGGAATATATATTTCTGACCTTGCCTCTTCTTGCCATGAATCTCTTCAAGGCAGCGATGAATGAATCAGTAGTCAGGTCTTCTACCAACTCGATGTGTACTGCCTTCACCACCATGCAGACGAAAATTGCTACGTAAGCTTTATATTGCTTACTGTTGCGACGAATACGATCTCGCACGTAAAACGGTCCGCAATAGTCCACCCCCGTATTATAGAAAGGTCTGGCAGGGTTGACTCTGGCTGATGGCAGCTGCCCCATTAGTTGCCAGCTTGTCTTCGGGCTTGCCTTCTTACATCTGACGCACTTGTATAAGATTCCTTTAACTTGACTTTTAGCGAAAATGGGCCAAAACTCTTCTCTTATGCAGTTTAACGTAGTTTGCACTCCGGCGTGGAATAGCTTTTCGTGGTAATGTATAATAATCAATCTAGTAACATAATGGTGTGACGGGAGTATGATTGGATGTTTCGTTTCTTCAGGTAACGCCGCATGTTTCAGTCTGCCTCCAATCCTTAAAATGCCTTCGTCGTCCAAATACGGGAGTAGCGCTATTAGCTTCGAAGCCCTTCGGACCTTGTTGTTGAGCTTCAACGTTTTTATATCGTCTATGAACGCTTCCGCTTGTACTAGTTTGACTATTCTTAACTTCGCTTCCCTAATTTCCTCCGTACTTATTATTCCTATTCTACGCTCTTCTTTGGTATGCTTTACATTGTATATAAATCTTAAAATGTACGCTCCTATTCGCAACAATTTATAATAGGACGAAAATCTTTCATATTCTATAACTCGTTCATTTTCGACTACTGCTGTTACTACTGTTCGCTTTCTTTCTTCCGGTACGCTTCTTGATACCAACTCCTCAGCATCCTTTGGCCAATAGCTTGCGT